TTTTTTGGATTAAATGTGTGATTCCTGAAAAAGAAAAAAAGACACTAAATGCTAGAGATTTTGTACTAAGCTTTGCAAACTGCTGTATAACACAGCTTGCACTGCACTGTAGCTGTTCCCTTTCAAACTTGTAAGTTTTATGGGATTTTTGGTGAGTTTTCTAGATGACTTTAATGTAAACAACACTACTGCATGAAGAACCAGGTGGCTCTGTGGAGTCATTTAGAAAATGGCTGTAAAGGGTGTTTTATTCCTGTATTTATCTAGTAAGTAGTAATCATGAGATCATGGCAGCCAGTCCACCTGGGTTTAATTTCAGATCCGCGAACTGTTTAATATGCTGAATGGTAAGACCCTAAATTAGCTGCTTTGATGGAACAGCCTGTTGGAAGATGAGAAGATTGGGCTGATTTGGGGTGTCTTCTAAGGGCTTTCTTCCCCCCCCCCCTTCTTTGCTTGTAAACTTCCTTGAAAGCAAGCCTGCATGTGCCTCTTGTTTGTATTGATTCAGCACTTTGTCATATAAACATAAAAGAAACCCTTTTGGTAGATGCTGATTACGGCTGGTGTTAGCATGGTATCAGCCTGCAAAATGGGACAGAAACCAGCACAGAAGATGGAACCATAAGCTAAACTTTTCCTTTTTTTCTGATGCTAATAATAAATCCTCGGCAGGTATTGTAATCTTTCATACCAGGCAAAACATGCCAAAAAAAGTATTTTACAATCTCCTTCTAAAAATTCCCTAATTTCCATCTAACACCTCTAAAAATTCCCTAATTTCCATCTAAAACCTTCTCTTAATCCTTTGGGAGTTGTATGGGCAGTGCCAAATTGAAAATTATGGTGACAATTTCAGTCTTTTAACAAGAAGTTAATGAAGGTGAAGGCTCTGTGTGTCCAGCTTGTGTCTGTGGGACAAACCAGGTGAGATGTAGAGAGGTAACCAGGATCCTGCCTGTCTTTTTGGACTTACGTCAAGTATTTGTGCAGTTGCTTTCAGGCAAGAACAAGAGCTATGGATTCTAATTTAAAGTATATGAATAGTCACAATGAATAAATGAGTCCAAACCTGTTATGTTCTTCAATAATATATATTTTCTATTTAAGTAAGCCCTGCTGGACCGGGACCTGTATCCTTAGAGATGAAACAAGTGCTTTCAAGGAGACGTTACTCTACCATTCACACCATACTATGCTCTGCAGCGATGTGGCACAGAAATTGCTTCTTCCATTTTGTTTCTGTAGCCTGTAAGAACCGTAATTTACTTTTTATTTTGGAATTCGGTGGCAGGGGAGAGGCAGATGCTCTTCTCTGCTGCTATATGTCCTGCAGTGTTTGCATTTCCACTGTCACCTGGTCAGGTCCAGGTTTCTTTTGATGATTACATAAAATAAGGTCAGTGGCCTCACAACAAAGTGTTGTCATGTATAATTAGTCCCGTGTTTTTCTGAATTTTAGAGAGATAATTACCTTTCCAAGGCTGAAGTGGAAACAGATAGATCCATCTCTTAGACCCTTTATGATTTCAGTGTAAACATGCACATGTTGCAGAGCATAACGTAGATTGAAAGTAAGCAAGCTGTGACCTGGGATGAGAAGCCCAGTGGGAGAATGTTTCTGGCACAGCGGTTTGAGTATAATGACTTTTACAGCACTCATTGGTCACAGCTGGCATGGGAGCTTTTGTGACCTGATTTTGGTAATATCTAGAACCCTTCAGAGCAGTCTCAAACCTGTTCTAACTTATGTTGGTGGGATGACTTGGCACACAGGGTCTACAGAGCAAAACAGCTGCCAAAAACTCTGCTACTTCAAATATACCTCTCTGCTGAGCAGAGCTGTGTGCTTCTGGGATCCAGCCAAAAATCAGGACTAAGATCCATCAAATCAGTGCAATGGCTTTTATCGCACCTCTTGGATGGAGAAGGGGAACACAGAAAGTTAATGCAGTTATTTTTGTTGGCTAAGCCTCAGAAACAGAGGGGTTAAATGAAATTAATACTAACTTTTAAGCACTGTCCAATCTCTGAGGCTTAGCTTTGGATTTCAGAAGAATGCTCATCTCTTTCCTGCACTGTTCCCTGGTATGGGGTTTTCCTACTGGTAAGTGAATAGCCTAGTTCAGCTTAACCCCAGCAAAAATTTTAGTTGAGATATTAAGCAGACGTAGTCATCCTCTCAAAATGTGAAAATAACTTCATTTGGTTTGCATATCTAAGAGGAAAGCAGCCTTTTCATTTCTCAGAAAGACATTAAGTGATGTTTCTGTTGGATTCCCGTCTGCTTAGGAGGGTTGCTTGCAGAGTGTTTTCAAAACAGGTTTGAAATAGTAGGAATGAAGACTTTTGAGCTGCATGCGCTCTTGTTCTTAAGAACTATAATAATAAATGCCTGGTCCTGAACTCTTTGCTGATACAAGTAGTTGTTATTTATATGAGAAAACCTACTGATTTTAAGGATTTATTTGAGAAAGGATAGCTCCTGTGAATGAACTCTGCCAGTTGCAAGCCTTTGAAGACTACAGGCACAGCTGATGTGAGATATTTTAAGAGAATGGCCAAAGACCCAAAAGGATGGCAAATGATGGTCAGAAAATAAGGAGTTCTTTGAGACTCCAACAAATTTTGTTTTCCCCACTCCTAAACTCTCTCAGGAAAGAAAATGTTTTACCTCAGGCTCCATTAATGGCTCTAAGACAGCTCTAAACTCTCTAGCATGGCTGTGGGGACTCTGTACCACAAGCAGGGACATCAGTAGATGTCCTGCTCAAAACCTCCCTGGCTGTTTCTTCTCCTTCCAGCCTGCCACATTTCTCTGTTTTCCCCTGAAGGGGTCTGTTCATACCCATTTTGGGTGCTGGCTTCTGCCTCTGCCAGGCTTGTTACCTTGAACACAAGTCCTTGCCTCAGATCACAGTTTACATATCTACATAATTTTCTACATCCTACTGCCAGGATATTTGAAGACAGAAGTTGCTCAGTATTTAATGGCAGTATATTGTTAGGGTTTTCGGCTCTGTAGACAAATTCAGTCTTCCAGTGCATTTTCTTTAAGGAATTTTAGCAGATTTAGAATTTCACCAAAACTGGAATAAAACCTAAGGCCACATGCATCAGCCAGGTCTCCATATCAGCATTATCAGATTCAAGAGCTCTTTGGTATGACTGGATATGGGTGAGATAACAGTAATTTATTTGACATCATCTGAAACAGGTAGATCTAAAAAGGACAGCTGTACTAAAATAGATGCTAGGTTGCAGTGAATTTGCTTGTGTTCCTAGACCTTCCCTGATATCAATACACCAGAGACTTGCCTTGCTGGGGGAATCTTTATTTATCTGAATGCCTAAAAGAGATATGATTTTGGGATGTAACCTGATGATGTCCTTGTAACGAAGGGAGTTAATTGCACGGGGTAGGAAGGGAATCACATCAGTCTGGCATCGTTCTCTCCATTTCATGGGTAGAATCCCATTGCTTTCACCTCTGTAGTCTGGTGGTAGCTTTTTACAGGGGTTTCATGCAGTAGTGTAAGGATTTAGTGTTTGGATTCAAATTGTAGCAGAGAAGTTTGTTTAATATCTACAGGATGATGTGCCTTGTGTTTTTCTGCCTCTCTACTGAGCCCCCAAAAGATGTAAACTTGTTACAGATGCCACTGTGCAGGCTTGCCCTTGAGAGTGACAGGTACTAAGCCACGCTTACTTGTCTGTGATGCTGGCAATGTGCTTGGGATGGACACTGCTGAGGCTGGCAGCACCATCCAGGACACCTCATGGTTTTTTGGCATAAGTAAAAAAAAAAAAAAAAAAAAATTGTGAAATTTGATGAGATGAGATGCTGGCAATGTGCTTGGGATGGACACTGCTGAGGCTGGCAGCACCATCCAGGACACCTCCTTGTTTTTTGGCATAAATAAAAAAAAAAAAAAAAAAAAAATTGTGCAGACCCAGAGATACCTAGGAAAAAACAATTTTGGCCAGACAGACTTGATGGGTGAAGCAAGAATTCAAGAAGCTCCTCCTTTGTCCTCTGGGACAGGATACTTTGTGAGAGCTACCAGAGAGCAAGTGACTTAAAGAGTTAAGTAGAAGTCAAATGAAATGATTGTTAGGAGGGTCGTTTATTTATTTATTTAGTAGCATACAGTAACAGGACAGAACTGCAAAAGAGAGTGCTTGTATAAATGTGTCATTCATATTTAGACCTTTCACACCAGAGCCCTGACCCTTGAGTTGCTCAGCATTGCTCACCTTGGGCAACCACAAATCACTGTTACAGATTGCGTTGTCACTAGCAGAAAATCACCAACCCTTCAGTCGCTGACCTTGACCCTGGTATTATTATTTACTACTTAGAAAATAAGTAATAAACTATCCCTTCTGAGATGACCTGCCGGGCAAGCTGAGAAGCTCCTCCCCAAGGCCCAAAGAGTGCAAATTGATAAGAAGATGCAACTTAGCAGGTCAGACAAACGTGAGGCCAGATTTATGCCCTAAGACAGTAAGGTTTTATTTGCTGACTGACAGGGGTCTTACAACCCACTCTGAGATCACCCAGCGTCACTCCCTGTTTTATTTATGTGGCAATAAAGCAAAAAAAATATACATTATATCCCTGTTGTGTCTAGTTACAATGATGGAGAATGTCTCCAGCTGACCAAGGTGTCCTCATTAATGATTGTTCTATATTTAGCCCTTGCAGAGACCATGTGCCCCCAGTTTAATCAAAGACCTGGTAGTCATGGTAACGACACAGAGCATCTGGATGTATACGATTTGCCAAACACTGTAATAAAGTGCAAGATGAAAAGAACACACAACAGCGTTAGGTGAATTAATGTATTGTTCTTTTCTGCTACAGATTTTGAAGTGTTTGGAAGAGCTCCCTAGCCATAAATGCTAGATTGTTTTTGCAGAAAAAGAGCCCTATTAACACAGGTGACAATTACTAATCTCTTTTTTTGTTTGTTTTGTTTCTTAATCTTGTTTTGCAGGTGTATCAGCATTCATATACGGCATATTATGTCCTCAGCAAAATACCTCATGGGTAAGCAATTTTTCAATGTCTTCATTTTAAAACCATTAAGAATTCTGCAAAATAAGGTGTATCGTGACAAATGGTTGCCTGTGACAGCCCTTTGCAAAGGTCTGGCGTTCAGCTGCAGCATCCTCTGAGCTGTGTGTTGTACGAAAGATGACATAGTCTGGAAACAGAAGTACGCAGCTTCCCCAGAGAGTCAGACTACATGAATTTCATCTTCCAGTTTTCAAGTTTTTGGCTAGAATATAGATGTATTGGCATCTGGCTGAGAGCCGCGGTTGGCCACTCACCAGAGCACTGTCAGAGGATCTATACAGGGGTGTTTAGTCCCTTAAATTTGGTCAGAATTGAGGCATCACCCTTCAGTTTTGGGTCTCTTGGCAGATTCCCTCGATACAAATGCTCTCTCCAGCATCCCATCTGAAGGCAGGTAGACCAGTAGTCTCTTCCCAGGATCCCAATGCTGCTTAGATACATGTACTCATAGTTACACAGAAGCTATGAGCCTTCAGGTTTGTAGGTTATCTTTTCAGAGAGTGTGAGGTAAGTGCAGAGAGACAAGAATGCCACATAGGCTTTACACAGCATTTCTAAACTTCATGAAAGCAATATTGCTTTATCTAAAGCACCTAGTATGAAAGGTTATGTGTCATTACAGGCAATAAACTTCCGCCATTTGCCTTCCATCAGTGCCTCTTCATTTAGGTCCCCCCATCCACTGGAGGTCCTGAGGTAGGCTCAGTGGTTAACACAGGCATCAGTTAGCTTGAGGGGATCCTTCTTTAGCTTGGATTAGCTGCAGTTTTTTAAATCCCCCTTTCTCAGCTTTGTCTCTGGGGTGCTGCAAGTTACCCGTGGCTCATCTTGCCTGTCTTGTTTCACTAGAGTCTAGCCCATAGTTTCTACCTGCTTTTACCTTAAAAGATACCTTTTATATATATGTACTTTAAGAACTGGCCCAACTGGTCAGGAATGGGATGCCACCATACCAGTAAGGTAAGCATATGATGTAATGTAGTAACAGTAATGTACACATATGATGATACATGGTGTTTTAGAGTGACATTTCCGTAGCACCAATGGAAATGCCTAAGTTGCACAGCAGAATTCCTCAAATCGCTGTCAGTAAATACAAAGCTAAAAGCCAGGAAGCTGGTGCCAGGTTGTGTGGTTTAAGTATCGTGATAACTGTGCAGGAGTGGTAAAAGGGACAATATAGTTGTGCTCTGCCATTTCTGTAGAACATTGCACATACTTCTGGTTATAAAACATCATTTCAGTATTTGCTATGCTTCTTTGCTAAGTTGTCGTTTCTATACATTATGGCTAAACAGGTAGTAGATGTTTTGGATCCATGCAATAGCTGGCAAAACCTTTAAAGTTTAAAAAAATCTGCCGTTTTTATACACAGGGTGATCACAGGATCACCAGATAACTCAGGCTGGAAAGGCTGTTCCAAGGTCCAACCTCCTGCTCAAAGCAGGTTACTCAGAGATTTATACAGCTGGGTTTTGGAAACCTGCAGGGATGGGGACCACACAGCCTTGCTGGGCAACCTGTCCCATGGCCTGACTGTTCTCATGGGGTGAAAGTTTCTCCTTCTATCCAGTCTGAACCTCCCCTTTCAGTTTATATCCACTCTCTGCAACCCGTACCACTGTATTAAATGAATTACTGTGTCTCTGACTTGGGAAAACACTGGGGTACATCCTGAAGTCCTGCAGGTTGGGATTCCAGGTTTCTGCCTCCGTGGGCCAAGTGCCTGCCCTGGAGAGAAGGCAGGATCCTGGCCATGCCTGTGCGCTCAGCGTGTCCTGCGGCTCTTGGTAGGCAGCTCCCGCTCTGCCTGTGTTCAGTGGAGCCCGAACTGGGCGGTTCTCAGGGGACATCACTGTTTGACACAGGAATGATGTTTTAAGGGCAAAAGTCCCAGAAGTCAGACATTGCAATACCTGCATTTTTGAGGCCCATACCCTCTTTCCAATCCAGTTTCTTTGGTACAGTAACCAGTGGGCTTAACAATAGAAAAGTACAGATTTAATGGCAAGATATAAACAAATATCTCAGCATTTTTGCCCATAAAAATACTAGTTACATTCAGGTGTTCCTCAAGGATTTGTCTCAGCACATTTGTCCACACACACACACACAAAAAACCCAAAAAACCCCACAATCAAAGAAACAAAACCAAAAAACCCAAACAACAACAAAAAAAATTGAAATAACTTTCTTTGGTTTATACCTAGCAACAGAGAAACAATACTTTCTACAAAAAAAAAATCCGACATACATGTTTTAAAATCTGTGAGCCCGGGAGCCTGTGAAGCCTGCTTCCCTACAGCTTGTGTCTTGTGATTGACTCACCACAAAAAATCATCAGCTAGAGCTTAAGTTGTTTCCATGTACAGCTGGAACATGGGAATTAGGAGACTTCTCACAATCATCCATATCAAAGCTCTAGTGTCCCAGCATGACACGCTCCAGAATTCTCCAGTTGCTTTCCTTCCCTGCCTCAGTCTGGTCTTCTTTTTTGATTTTCTTTTTTTTTTTTTTTTTCCCCCAAGAACTTGCTGGATTTATTTAATTTTTGAAAACTCCATCTTTCTGGCAATATATCTGAATTAGCTTGTGGGATGAAAGGGTGTTGAGCAACAGGATGAACACACAGCATGCGCACATAAGCTTTGTATCTGCAGTAAAGCTGGCTAAGAGCAAAAGCATTTGATTGACAGCACAGTTTTATTCCAGACAAAACAAAGGTGGAAAAAATAGAAGTATTGTGCATAGAATGTATTGGAAATGCTAAACAGTAACAATGCAGTGGTCCAGGAAGTTTGCTGCTACTGCATGATCTTTCTTCATCCCTGACAACCAGCTTCTTGTTCCTCTCAGCTTCAACTACATTGCACGCTCAGCTGTGTCTCGTCTTGCTTTCCGTGTTTGGTTGAGCGACGGTGCAGGCAGTTGGAGGGTTGGATGTGTCAGAGGATAAGTATCCAGAATAAGGGGAAGATTTGGAAAGTGAGAGGGTGCCAGAGGCACATGGGTGTGGCAGGCATTGGTGTCCCCAAAGCACGATACACCGATGGATCAGGTTGGAAGGGCTGCTATATTCCATGTTGGTACAGCTACGGTTTACAAAGTGATTTAGGCTGTAGGTGCATATGCAGGCATTGCAAACCATGTTGTACAGTCACAATTGCATTGATCTTTCAGGTGATCGTAGTGCATGTGAGTGGTGGAAAGGGTGGCATGTTGCCATATCCCTGGAACATGGGCCTTTATCGTTCCTTTGGAGTTCTGCGTATATTTTAGGGTGGTGTGTGAAGAGAGAGAAGTGTAGCAGGTGAACACGGCGTCAGGGGTGATGGAACACATCAACTGAAAGTAGAGCCTCTGTTGGATGAAGGGGTTAAAATCTCTTCATCATGTATTTCATGTTGGACACAGGAATATTGCTCTGATGGATGTGTGTGGATGAAGTTTGTTGAGGGCAGGACCAAGCACACTGACACAGCACAAGGTTCAGTTCATCTTGATGTCCCAGGTCCCTTGGGCAACAAAATTTGCAACCCAGGGGCAGCATCCTTGCCCTCTACCTGACGATAACACAAGTGACAAAAGCCTTTGGCACTGAGCAACAACCCCTTTGCCATTTCTACAAACTGTTTTCATGCATTAGACCTCTCCTGCAAGTAGGCACCAGCTTTACACCCCAGCGGTGTGTGCCAGGGGCACCTCGGGATACCCCCAAATCCACAGCCATGGCAGTGACTGCTGGTGAACAAACACTCCCCTCCGCGATATCCCTCCTGCTCATTAGGCACTCGCCCCTGGCAGCAGGCTGTGACTTTCCCTCTGCTCTCTCTACCCTGTTCCTCATCCTCGGCTATGATCTGCCTCATCAGGAAGGCCAGGCGGTTTAGGCTCTGTACTCACCTTGCTACACCCCTGCTGAGGCTAACTAATAAGGAAGCCAATTAATCCAAATCTGTGGCATCACCTTTTAAATAACGTGACATTAATATGCCAGCATAAATTGCTTTTTAAAGGGAAATTTCTAATTATATTTGCCATGTTCTGCAGACTCTCCAGGTTCGGGCTGTGTCTGAAGTCAAAAGGGGCTCGTACCAGCATTTTCCAGGTTTTACTCCGAGCTCTCCATAAGTTTGACAAGCCAATTTGGGCATGTCCTTAAGACATACATTCACAAATGGCATTTTGTACAGGGTACAGGACTGCAACATTTTCCCGTGAGAGCTGTCGTGGCAGTAAACTTCCCACACAAGGAGCAGCAGCACAATTTGGCTCTCGATAGGACAACTAATACATGCCAATGACATAGACTCAAAGGACCTTATTTAAAAATGAAAATAAACCAGAGATAGAAGAAAGAGTAAATATCCTGGGGGGATATTTACTGCACAGATATAATTTCTCCTTTTTTGTTATTTCAGCCTTCTCACAGCCTCTTGGTTAACTTGGGATAGAAACCCCTACCGTTTTCACCACATTTGCCTTCTGTTTTCAATGGCCTGTAGTTTTCAGTTTTCACAGGGGGGCCAGCTAAGATCCGCAGTTCTCATTTTCCTGGGCTGAGGTGTGTAGGGAGGTTATGCCCAGTTCAGCTTTCCTGCACGTCACCCATTTTTCTCCTGCTGTTCACCCAAAAATGAGATGCTGGCGCCGGGTGCCATCTAGTGGAACCAGCCTCTGTGCTTGCTGCTCATGTTCCCTGGTATGAACATCTCTGCGCCCGTCCCATCTGCTTTCCTCCGAGTGGTGCTGCTTTTCAGATATATCTGCCAATAACTGCTTACAGCTGTCTGCATTATAAATATTTTTGCAGAGCTCCTCTCCTAACCCCACAGTTGCACTTGCCGCAGTGTAATTGCCAGCTAGCTGTAATTAATGGGTACCGTGACAGCATCTGCAGGTCTAGATGTGGAACAGGGAGCTCTCGTGCAAGGTGCTGGGGAAAAGTGGAACACAAATACCATATACAG